CTCAATGTGAAGGCGGGACTTCATCTCCACAAGAACTGTGTGGTGGTCACTCTCATTCTCACAGATATTATCATGTACAGATGTATCTGTGGAACCAGATTGGTAAAGATGAGATCAAGTATATTTTCCCCTCTTGTTGATTCCTTTACCACCTGCCGCAGACGCAGTCTAGCTCCTTTAGGACGCGACCAACTTGGTCAGTCGTAACTGAATAAGAGCTCTATGTAACGATCTGCAACTAACAGTAAAACTGATGGTTACAAAACAGTTGTCTTTAGAGTTCCTCAAAGACATCTGAACTCTTCTAAATTTGGCCCTCTGAGCATTCCCAATGTGCATTGCTCCACCATGTGTGGAGTGTTCTTTAGCTGTTGAGACTCCAGCACCTATAATTCCCTCTATAAACCCCCCTGTCACTTGAGTTAATTTGAGTACTTTAAGATACTCCTTGAAAGCTACATATTTGGCCAAACTTTTAGTCAAGAGCCCTAACATCTCCCTTGGTGGCACACTGTCAAATTCTGTTTGTCATACTTCTGCGAAACAACTTTGGACACTTATTACAGTAAATGTATTGATTAAATACAAATTGTAGTAGTTAGTTGCTTTCATTCATTAGAAATTTCAAGAGATCCATTATAAAAACTGGGAAAGGTGCCATCTTTATTAGAGTTCTGAGGAAGGGTCACCGGACCCGAAACGTTAACTCTGTTTTCTCCTCCACAGACGCTGCCAGACCTGCTGAGCTTTTCCAGCAACTTTATTTTTGTTCCTGATTTACAGCATCCACAGTTCTTTTGGCTTTTATGGTCCAATTTAGATTTTAATTATCGTAGAATTAGGATTAATTAAGTAGTGCAGCCTTGGAAAGCTACTCTGAAACTAAGCCTGTGTAATCGCATGGTGCATTTAGGTAGACTTTGTCAGGTAGCATACTGCCACATCATCTGGCACCCCACCCTAACCCCCAAAATACTGAGCTGCCAGTCTGAAAGCTGAAGTTGTGCAAATGTCATTTCAAGGACACTTGTATCTGTACAAAATGTGAGGGAGAATGTGAAGGGATATCATCGATGGTTTATTCTTGAGCGAATTGGAATTTATCAAATGCCTTTTGCAAACCTGGGACATCCCAAAGCTATTCCCAGCCAATGATGTACTTCTGAAGTGCATTTGACTGTCATGATGTGAAAAATGTTGCATGTGTACATCGCAAGATTCCACAAACTGGAATGAGACACTGGAACACAGCTTAATGTTGGCCAGCACGCGCTCGTTTTGGCGTTCAGTATGACCCTCCTCATTCTTGATCAAAGTTGTGCCTTGGGATCATTTTGCTTTACCTCAGACAGCAACCATCTCATCTGACGTACATCATCTGGTTGAGCAATAAATCTGTTTGCATTCACTAAATCCCTTTAAATGCAGCAAATAATTGTTTATAGTCTAATCCTGCGATTCCAAAATTATGGAAGAGTGGGTTTTTTTTTGCATTTTCATCTGTATCAGCGAGATGACAAAGAACAAAACATACAAGCTCAGAGAATTAGAATTTCTGATGTTGTTGGTGCGAGGTTTTTGAACTATTCAGTTTGGTTATTTTAAAGCAGTTGGTGGCTTATGTATGTTAATATTAATTGTTTCAGGTCCCAGTGGAACGGAAAAGAGACTGTGCCGTTTGGGAAAACTTGCCTAAAAGCAGATCCGCTCAACTTTAAACTGAAGAGGCGATTAAGCAGTGATTATTGAACCATAAGGCAAGTATTGCACAAAGAAAACAACAACAACTTGGAATGTTATGGCACCTCTGAATCCCCACACCAGCAGCTCTATAATATAATGGTGGAAGATATTCATTATTATAATCACATCTTGGATGAGAAATCCCAATTTCTCGCGGTAAAATACCAGTAAAATCCCTGAAGTGTTTCATAGGACTGTGATCAAACAACATTTGATTCCAAGCTTAATCAGGTGATATTTAGACAGGTGACTAAAAACTTGCTTCTTAAAACCTGCCAGATTGAGCATCTTTTAGGAGGAGAGAATGATTTAGGGAGGGAATTCCAGAGTTGAAGTGTTCGGTAACTTAAAATACAATGGTGGAGCAATGAAAACACTAATGTTGGCTTCTAAATCTGGAAATGGTAAAGGCACTGAACCTTAGAATTAACAAGTGGCAATTCAGCGGAAGAGGACTGGTCAGGGTCTAAGCAAAACAACAGTCATGTTACAAATTTGGATAATGGCGTATTGCAGTGTTCTTTTGGGGTGACATGGCAGAGGGAAGCTTGTAGTAGCTGGCTCAGTAGCAATCTGATCCTTGCCACGGATTGTACAGTACAAGTTGTTTCTTGTTGCAAAGCCTGGCCTCTGGGAATTGATCCACACACTGCCTTTTTATCTGCTGGTACAATGGTGTAATCTGTGTCAGTAACAATAATATCACCTCTGGTGACCTCAACTGGATATCTTAACTTTTGCACATGTTTCTCCTCTTCAGTCACTTTCTGCTCGAATACCTGATGGGCATGGCGTGATTCATGTCAATGAACTGCTTTTTTTCATAGAACAGAAGTTATGATAATGCTGAGACAATTCAACCAGTGTAACTATATGCAGTGAGAATACTCCATGCTTCCTACATTAGTTTGCCCATCTTGACTTAGCATAACTCTCTTGCATTCTTACCATTGCACATTCTTTGCCAATGCTGTCTGTCTTGCAGATTTGTTTGTTTGATAAATCTTATCTCGGTGCCTGTGTGTTTTATATCTCAACGTTTGCAGTCAGAAAGGGAAGGTTTCCAGATTTCTAGCTAGGAGTCCACACCAGCAACTCTCTAATCCAATGGTGGTCGGTATTCATTGTTAGGATCAGATCCCGGATGAGAGATCCCAATTTGTTGCAGTTCCAGGCAGGATACCCCAAAATCAATAAGCTCCCAAATGAGGAGGGATAAACTGACTTTTCTCTTGGTTATTCACTTGCCCTCTTGGTTGGTCACTGCAAGGTTAAATTAACAGGGTCCCTCCTCTTGTAAGTTTCTTTCTCCCGGACTAAGTTTTGTTTTGTTTTAACAGGAACTAATTCTTGACTTAGCAAAAGGGTGAGCTTATTAGCTGCTAAACAAGTGAAGCAGTAATGATACAACACAAGTAAACATGGATTAAGAATCAAGAGTGAGTATAAAAAAAAGTTAATGTATAAAAAAGAAATGGGCCAGTTTGAGTAGTTTGTGAAGTGTAAATGGAAGATTGTTAGTGGTCGTTTCCAGTAGTGTTGATCTTGGTAGTTGAACAGTCGAGTTTACAATTCTTAGCTTTATGGGGTGTTTCAAGTTCCGTTGAGCTGGTTCCTTTTGACAGTGGCTAGCTGGCAGTACGGAGTGAAAGATCAACTCTTTTTCCTTCCTTTACCTGTAGTGCAGGGGTATTTAATGGCTAAAATTAGAATTAGCTTGATTTTTGCATGTACTCATTTGAGTACAGTGAAAAGTGTACAAATCGCTGCTTATGGCACCATCTTAGGTACAATATTTTCAGTTACAGCTCTTGCTGGTGGGGGGGGAGAAAAAATAAAAAAGTCGAGCATTGCAGGTTTTAGGAATAAATTGAAACATGGAGAAAACAAAAAGTTGAGAACAACAGTCTTCCAACCCCGTCCATTCTAGCACTGGGCCTTGACTCCAGACTGCGCCTAGCTTCACCTCAGTGTTCACAAGGCCGAGAGATCACTCTGGTATCACCTCAAGGCCAGAGGCCCACGCTGAGGCCATGGCAGTCTCTTGGCCTGTCATGTACCACCCGAAGACCAATGTGCTGGGCTGTTAAGAGATCACTAAGCCAGGCTGAGAGGACACCATGCTGGGCCAAGAGGCCACCTCGTTGGGCCTAATATTGGCAAAGACCTTGGCACATTTGTGTAACATTCCTTTGGGTGCTACGTGAATGTTGATCCATTGATTTAAGTATTGGAGCTTGTGTTAAAATGGAGGACAGGCATGTGATCAAGATGTGTTGAAAGTGCGTAGATTAAAAATCCTTTTGAGGCTCGAGTCTTAATTTTATATTCCATTTTCTCTGAAGGCCAGATCTCTCAATCAGTGCCATAATCTGAGGAATGAGCTTTGGTTACTTTTTAAGTACTTTGAGTGAGGTTTCTAAAAGTGTTAATAAGTATGCAGTAATCCTTGTTAAGATTTTTGCATTCTTAAAACATGTTTTACATTCCACAAATAGAACTGCACCCACTTAAACATTTTACGAATGACTATGAACAAGTAACTATAGTAATTCCCCAGTGCAAAAAGTGCTACATGTTGCATTGTGCCATATTTGACTGAGAGAATTTTTGAGACCCTGCTCATACAAACAAGTGGTTTTCTGTGATGTGGAGATTAAAGATTTCCAAATCTGAATTTGGGCTGTAAACCCCTGGCCACTTCTGTCTTAAATGGTGGCAGGGTAATGGGCTTGGTGACAAGGAGGTAAGTTAACATTTTAAGTCTTGTAAATGAGGAGCTTCGTCTGTACTCATCATTGAGTTTATCGGTGGACAGCAACTTTGCAGATCATCATGGAACCCTGACAGCTAAACCTTGGCGAGTAATGTTAAGTTAGTGGGTAAGTGCCTTTCCACCTCAATGCCATCTATGACCACTGATCAGGCTCTGTCTCCTTCTCCCTCTCTCTCTTTTCCCTACCCCCATCCGACCCGATGACCTTGAATTTGCAACTCCCGACCCTGCACTGGTGTCACTTGGAACCTGTCAGTCCAACAACAGCATCGCATGATCTCCTGGAGTTAAAACTCCATTCGGGTGTACAAAATCCCTGTTTTTTTTTTAGTTTGAGCTCCGCTCCAGGCAGGTCAGGTAAGTTGACTTTTAACCCTCTGTTCTTACAGAGGATGTGGTACAATGGGTGTTTTTTTTTTTTACAGCTATACTATGAAGTGCAACTAGAACTACAGTTTGCTCTCTAATGCTAACCGTAGTAGATGCTGCTAGCTCCATTAACAGTATCTTTTCTTTATATAGAATTTACTACCATTCAGCCCAACAGGCCTTTAGCTCCACAAAAGCTTCTTCCTAATCTAATAAAAGCAAAATACTGCTGGAAATCTGAAATAAAAACAAAGTGCAGGAGAAACTCAGCAGGTCTACCACTTTTTTTTTCTGTGGTGTGAGAAAGATTTCAAGTTTCAAGTTTGATGTGATTCCTTTTTGGCACCTCCATCCCAGTTTGTTTTAATTAATTTTCAGTTTACACTGTTGGCTCCCTCTCTCGCTCCCTCTCTCGCTCCCTCTCTCGCTCCCTCTCT